ACCAGCCAACTGTCTCCTCTAATTTCTGAAACTGCAAGTAAAAAGAAGTCCTTTCTTCATTGTGTTCATTCAGATTATTTGCCACATGACAAAAAGTCTACTATGGGTGTGGAATATCAATTTTTATTCTGCATGTCAGTAGACAGTTGAGAGAATGAGAGTGACTATGTAGCAAAAACTCTGAAATCATCATTACTTATTGTTATACATCTACTGTTTTTACAGTTTTCCTATTTGTTACATTTTATTTACTTTTACTTTTCTCTTATGGTAATAGGTCAAAATCATTTATATAACCAAAATACATGATTAACTTATATTTTGATATATTTTCCTTTAGCCAGTCCACCCCTGAACTGAAAACATATAGGTGCACATAATTCATAATTATTCAGCCCTACTGTTTGCATTTTGCTCAGAATGTGTTGGAACACAAAATTTAAGGAAAGATGATGAATTTACTAACAAGATTATTTTATTGATGAATCAGTTTTCACAGGTGATTTGGTATATTAGATGTGAAGTACCTCTCTTTATATGTTCCAAGGCAGAGGGATTAGTATTTTTCTAATACTACTCTGAAGATATGGTGGATCACAGAGTTGTCATGAGTGGATTAATCAATTGATAAATTCATATTGAATTAGAATTAGGAGATTGGGCTCAGGTTGAAGAACAGGTCACTTGGTAATGTGATTTAGGAGGTAGATCATGTTACTGACCTTTTCCTGTCTGTTTCTTTGTTTCCTGACATCTACCAGGTGATCAACCATCCTGTCCCATGACCTTCAATTGTGATGGGTTTACATTGCCAAGTGCCTGAAAACAATTCAACGAACTGAGCAGGTGCCCATGTTCTCAAATTTCTGAAACCCTGAGCAAAAATAAGTCTTTTCCCCTTTAAGTTATTTGAGGAATACGAAGAGAGAGATGCATAGAAAGGAGAAGGGAGGGACTTAGTGTTTTGTGAACTATTTTGGTTTGGGACCGCTGGAAAGACACTATCTTATTGGGTCTCCAGTCAAAAGGAAGGTCAGCTAGTGCAGCTTGACCACTCTGAGCTACAGATATTCATCCCAACATCTGACTCCTCAGTCTTTACTGGTAAACAGAACAATAGAGACGTAGTTAAAAACAACACATATCTAATTCTCTTCTATTTTCTCCAGTAGGAATAAGAAAGTCAAACTAAGGAGGTAGGGAGTAGAAAGCAAAGCAAGGGAGTAGTGTGAGCCATGCTGACAGGAAGGGAACAGAGCCTTTATCAGTGAATGAGGGGCCAAGTGCTTGGATATTGAGTCGGGTCTGAGGAGAGAGGATATTTACTTCCTCCAGCTGAAGTAGCAGCATAGTAAGAAAGCAATATTGAGGAAAAAAAAAAAACAACAACAACAAAGAGAAACAAAAACATCTATCCAAAGAGTCAACATGGTTCTTTTTTTATTATTTATAGATTTAGTTAAGGTTAGCAATGCATTTTAAAATTTATAAGCTCATCTTGGGTAATTCACTGTTTCCCTCATTCCTACTCGTCAAAGACACACATTTTAAATTTGTTTTAACATGTACATTATTTTTTAAACTACTTAAAATTCTTAAGGCTCATAATCCTAGAAGTTTATTTAAACAAACAAACAAACAAAAAACTAACATCACCACTGCCTGAGCATGCTGCTGTGCATAGATCCTTCTCTGGAGTGTGGTCTATCCAGTGTCCATCCACTGGTGAAAATTGATTTTTCCTCTCTTAGCAGCTATCAGTCACAAGTAACTTCTTGGCTATGGGTGGGACATTTTTCCCACTTCCTCTTCTCTGTACTGGGATGATCTTGTCTGCTTTGAGCTTGTACATGGTGTCCCTACTGCTGTGAGCACATATGCACATCTGTCCTGTAGTGTTTGGAATATGTAATTTCCTTGATTTTGAGAGAGAGAGAGAGAGAGAGAGAGAGAGAGAGAGAGAGAGAGAGAGAAAAGAAGAAGAAGAAGAAGAAGAAG